AGGTATATCCCCGGTAATGGGGAGGTAGATCCCTCACAAATAAACCTCAATCATTCTGCCAACAATGTACATCGCTGAGTCTCAAAGGACGGGGAAAAAGATGAGGTTCAAAGCCAAGTTGGAGGAGTCTTTAGAAAGAAGCATGCCCCAGTTCATTCCCAGCAAGACAGGAGGGATTAGTTTTGGGAACAACGCTTCAGGGAAATACAGTAAGAGCTAAGCCACATGAAAGATGTGGTGAAAAGTGAGATCTCGATGACCATGGACACTCTGGTTCAACAAACAAAGTCTCTATTCACGCCTAGAGCACTACATTTTCCTCTCTCCCAAAAATTCAAAATGCATCAGATCAAGACATTTGATGGGGCAAAAGACCTTATGGACCACCTTAACGTCTACAATAATCAAATGGAGTTGCATGGGTACCATGACCCGGTGCCCTGTTGGGCTTTCGCCATCACTTTGAAGGGCTCAGCCTTAGCATGGTTCAATAGGCTAGCCCCAGCCTCAATTTCCTCATTCAATGAGCTTTCTATGTCTTTCATGTCTCATTTCATAAGGGCCAAGATTTACAAGAAACCTTTCTACCATTTACTACTCGTAAAGCTAGGCCCAAACAAATCTTTGCAGAGCTATGCTCATAGGTTCAACATCAAATTCTTGAAGGTGGATGCCCTAGATGAAAAGTTTGCCCCTCACGGCCTTCACTACCAGGCTGGGAGTTCAATCGAAAGACCTGCTGTTCTCCATTGCCAGAAACCCCTAAGCCAACATGATTGATGTATTGGTGAAGACAAAGAAATACATTAATGGTGAGGAAGCTCTCCTCTCAAAAGCTAGAACCCCCTCAACCAAGGGGAGAAAGATAAGAAAAAATATTGGAGCCCAAAGAAGGACTGAGGTCAGGTGAAAATTGTTCCCCGAAAAGGAAAGGTGACGTCAAAGATCGCCTAGGTCCTCTTCCTCAGGAGTTACAACCAAAAAATGCCCCATGAAAGCTTATTCACCTCAATACAATGATCTCACAAGTGTTGTAAAAAGTCCTGAACAAGAAATTCCTAAGGTGACCATCTCAAATGAAAGCAGATCCCTGCAAGAGGGACACGACAAAGCACTGCAAATACCACCAAGACCACGACCACTACACTGATGATTGCATCAAGTTAAAGAAATTGATCAAGTTCCTGATCCAGTGGGGTCTGCTGCGCTACTTTGTAACGCAAGACAACCAAATCCAAGCAAACCCACCTCGCACTCCATAGTAACAACAACCACCACAACATTAATAACCCCTGGGCAAAATCAGGGTCATCGTCGAAGGGTTCGCCAAGGGAGGGGAGATGAGCTCGGCAAGAAAGGCTCACATGAGGAGGGCTTGAGCTGAAGAAACACTGAAGGTCCAGTCTATGCTTAAGTCACCTAGGCTGAGCATGAACATTACTTTCTCAGACTCGGATCTTGAGGGTTGTTATTATCCTCGTAATGATCCCTTGGTTGTAAAGGCCATCATCACTAGTAAGACCATCCATCAAATCTTTATCAAACTGACGTTATCTTCACAACAACCTTGGACAAGATGGGCATAGACAAAGAAAAGCTTGAACCTGAGAAAAGTTAGAACCTGTTGATCCCCTCCAGTTTTGGTCAGCCTTCAAGAAGGGAAGTCCTTACCTTATACCTCGCTATGTTTGACTTCTCCATGAGTGTAGCTATGGTAAGAGAGCAAAAAAGAGCTCAACGACCAGTCTACTACTGTAGCTTAGCTTTGAGGGGTGCAGAAAAGAGATACCCGAAATGGAGAAATTGGATTTAGCCTTGGTAGCAACAACAAGAAGGCTCAGTCCTTATTTCCAAGCTCATATGATAAAAGTCTCAACTGATCAACTAATGAAGTAGGTCATGCACAAACCCGAGTCATCGGGAAGGTTAGTTAAATGGCAGTCGAGCTCAGTTAATTTGACATTAGATATAAGCCTAGAACAACCATTAAGGAGCAAGTTTTAGCCAATTTTATCATAGATTTCACCTTGTCCATAGAAAAAAATGTGTCTCAAGAATCAAACAATCTCGAACCTGACTTGTCGACATGGAAAATTTCAGTTGATGGGTCATCCAACGCACAAGACAGTAGAGCTAATTTGATCTTGACCTCACCGAAAGGAGTAGATCTGGAGTATGCCCTCAAGTTCGATTTTCAAGGTCTCGAACAATGAAGCGGAGTATGAGGCCATGATTGTCAGACTCAAGTTAAACCATTCAATGGAAATGGAGTAGCTCATAATACACACTGACTCATATAAATTGAGGAGACATACGAAGCTAAGGGAGAAAGGATGGCATTGTACTTTAAAAAGGTGAAAGAATTGTGGAAGAAATTTGTTCAGGTCAAGGTTATGCAAATCACTTGAGAGGAGAACTCCCAAGCAGATGCTCTAGCCAAAATGGCCACAACCTCGCAAGACAGCCTAGATAGATTCATCTTGGTTGAACACTTGGTTGAGCCTTTAGTGAGCTCTGAATTGGAAGAAATTCTTCCTGTAGAGGCACAACCGACCTGGATGGATCTGAACTTAGTTTATTTACAAGACAAAACTATACTTGCATATTCAAAATAAGTAGCAAAGCTAAGGGGTAGGTCATCTAGATTCACCCTTATCCAGAAAAATCTGTATAAGAGAGGTTTATCTTCACCTCTCTTGAAATGCGTAGGGGATGACGAAACAAACTACATTCTAAGGAAAATTCACGAGGGTATTGTGGTAACCATGTAGGAGCTCGGACACTAGCCTACAAAGCACTATGGCAGGGGTATTTCTGGCCTACAATTACTAAAGACTTAAAGGAGTTGGTCAATAAATGCAAGGTCTGTCAACTTAGCGCGAATATCTTGTATTATCCACCAAAACCCCTCACCTCGGTGATAAGCCCTTAGCCCTTCCAATAGTGGGATTTGGATATATTTTGACCCCTCCTAGTTAATATGGTGCAGTGCAAGTTCGCCATAATTGGGGTCGATTATTTCACCAACTGGGTGGAGATGGAGCCCCTTACAAAGATCACTAAGCAGAAATTCATAAACTTTGTTTAAAAATCAATAATTTACATATTTAGGATCCCTAGGGCCCTAGTCTCAGACAACGGGAAGTAATTCGAGAATTCGGGATTCAAGGGATTCTGTGTCGAGTTGGGCATAAAAAACTACTTCTCTGTGCCAGTTCATCCATAGTCTAATTGACAAATAGAAGTAACTATCCGAACTATTAAAGCAGCTCTGAAGACCAGGCTTGAAACTTCAAAAGGTCAATGGGTAGAACATTTTCCAGGGATATTATGGGCTTACAGGACTACTGCCAGGACAACCAAGAACGAGACACCTTTTCGCTCTAGCGTATGGTACAAAAGTAGTAGTTCATGTTGAGATAGGTGCCCATCTCCAAGGATAGAGCTAGCAGATCCACATCATAATGACAGATCATTGCTCGCCAATCTCGACCTAATAGATGAGAAAAGAAATGACGCCAATGCATCTCAGAGTATCAAAGAAAGGCAGCACGATATTACAATAGGAGAGTTAGATCTAGAAGCTTCAAAGTTTGAGATCTTGTCTTGAAGAAACTCCTCCTGGCTGGAAAAAAATTCTGCTCATGGAAAATTAGGACCCAATAGGGATGTTGTCACAAGGGTAATCAGACCAGGGAACTAGGAGCTGTAGACTGGAGAAGGAAAAACTTCACCACACTCATGGAACGCAGACCATCTAAAGAAGTTTTACCAATAGAATGAAGAGGAAAGCCTTGTAACGATTTTCAGTTGATAAATAAAATATTCGTGTTGTAGTTAACCTACTTCAAAGAATAAGTTCTAATTCATCCACTTCAAGGAAAACGATGAGCTCTATAGCTCGGATGAGCTTTTCAGCTCATAAATAAATGATGAGTTCTTAAACCCATAAATAAATGATGAGCTCCTCAGCTCATAAATAAATGATGAACTTCTCAGCTCATAAATAAATGATAAACTTCTCAGCATATGAAAATAAGATGAGCTTTTTAGCTCATAAACAAATGATGAGTCCCTAAATTCATAAACTAACGATAAGCTCCTCAGCTTATAAACAAACGATGAGTTTTTAAACTTATATACAAACGGTGAGCTCCACAGCTCAAATGAGCTCTTCGGCCAATAAAAACAAGATGAGTTCTCCAACTCCTAAACAAATGATGAGTCCTTGAAGTCATAAACAATGAGCCCTTCATCTTATAAAGTAAGCCTCTTGTAGCTCAGATGAACACTCCAGCTCATAGGCAAAAGATGAGTACTTAGAAACAAACGAAGAGATCCCCAAGCTCATGAACAACCAATAAGTCCAAGTTTAGGGGACCACATAGACGTCTTACTTTGATGTGAACAATCTATCAACAAATAGTTTGATGTGATTACTTCCAGAAGACCAAGGCCTTCTTGAAGCAAGAGGCAAGGATGGAGATATATACATATCACAAGCAAGCATATGCAATCAGAAAGGAAAACTACTGAATCATATAGAATTTTCAAATCAAAGTACTAAATCGGACAGAATCTTCAAATCAAAGTCAGCTACTATTACCCCACAAAATTACAAAAGTGAAAGATTAAGGATCAGTAGCAGGAGCAAAAGTTTCTTCCTATCCCTCAGCATCTCCAAACACTATGGTACCAGTCTGGATCTTGAGCAAGGTCAAAGCCATTTCCATATGTCTCTCAAGAGGAGGAGGAGTTGGATCTGCCTGACCTTGGGGCATAGGATGAACTGGATCTACCTAACCTTCTAACAGACCTGGGGCTAAGCTCACCACCTCATCCAGAACTACTACCGGTAGAGTTAGGCCAGATGTAGCCCTATCTATAGTGGTAGCCTTTTCCTCCTCATCCTCATCATCATCCTCATCCTCATCCTCATCCTCTCAAAAGGGAGGCTAGAAGTCCAAGTCCAAGTCAGGATATTTCTTCATGGCCTGTTTCTAGAAAGAAAAGTAACTTTTGGCCCAGGTGGTGGCACTCTCATCTTTAAGCTCGGCTATAGTGGCATCCATGGAGACCACCTTGTCCTTCTTGGCATTGAGCTCCTTGCGGTAGGTGTCGCAAATCACACCCAAATACTTCAAGTAATCATTTGTCAACTTAACCACATCCCAGGACTCCACCAACTCCTTCTGATTTGCCTCCAAGTCGTCCGTCTTCGGCTTGAACTCTATCTCAAGTCTTTCCTTGGACTAGTTTAGCTTTTCAACTTTTTTGTTGAGGTCTTAACCCTTGAAGGATAGGTCGGTGACCTTGAGCTCAGCGGCCTTAAAGGTTTGCCTAGCTTCCTCTGCAGCTTTCTCTAAAGATTAGGCTCTATTCACTAGAGCACCGATATGTATTGCCACTTACAAAGGCAAGACTAAACTCAAAGTTAGAAGCTAACAAGAGAGCTCCTTTAAACTAAGTTGGAAGTCGAGAACTTACCGACGTCATCCCTTATAAAATAGTGGCAACTGAAGTGGAGAACGACATAGAGGAATTCTCCTGTATGTCAGCTTCAGGGATGATGGAGAGTATGGAACCGGCAGATAGGTTCAAGTCACCTAAAAGGGAACACTCACCTCTGGCCGAGTTGGCTGAAAGAAGAGGAGGTATGAAAGAAGAGGAGGTATGGCCCCAGCCAAAGTCCCAATCACCTATTTAGGCAGAGGCGAAGGGGTCGTCATCAAGGTCCTAAGTACCTCCTTGGGCTGGGTAGAGGTCTCAGTCACCTCTGCTGGAACCTTATTGAGCTTCGAAGGAGGTCTGATGGCTTTCTTGGTGGCAAAAAGTGACTTAGGAGGCAGAGGGCGCTTTCTTCCTAGTGTCCTACCTCAGGACTTTCTCAAAAAGCTCCAAGTCGGTGTCAAGTATGACCTGAGTCTTCCTCTTCTCTGTCATTTTGGGGGCCTTGACATCCTCCCTCATCTTGGCCTTGACAGTATCAACATCTAAAGCCATAACAACAAGATCTACACAGGGGGAAAAGAGCAAGGTACAAGTCTAAGATCCAACAAGTTGAAGAAACCTTAGTAAAATTGTTCAATACAGAGGTCTTACTAGAAGGGTCTCCTCTAACTGCAGAGATAGGCACATTAGCTTCACCTTGAGGCTCTGGTGGACCAAAATCATGCTTGACTAATATCAAAGGCATGAGGAGCCAAACGTATTCCTCATAAGGACACTCCTTAAGGTCTCTAAGGAGAAGTCTCTAATCAGCACTTAGGTCGGGGCGAATACCTAAGACAACAAAAGAAAAAATTAGCGATTAAAGATGATGAAATAAGAAAATCTCAACTGAGGCACCTTAGAACGGATCACCCAAGTTATCTAGGTCCGACCAAACTTAAGGCACCGAAAGGGTATTTGAGGCATCCCTTGGGTTGAACTCTCACTCCTTGCTAGACATAAAGAAGAAACTATCTTTCCAACCCTTGTGGGAGGTCGGCAAGTTGGTAATCAGATGTTGGATCTTCACCCATTTAGATATGTAGATGAAGTCGTCGGTAAGAGATAATTTAACATTGAAAAAATGCATGAGTAAGGGAATGGAGGGGGAGCCCGCGAGGTAATTCTCTTTGAAGGGCATCTCATGGTTCTCTTCAAAGATAAAACCATAAGGCCGACCAAAATACCTCAAAAGTTGGAAAAATTTTGAGCAAGCTAGATGTTAAAGTGCTAGAGCACAGTCTTGAGGAAATGATGCACGGGAAACCTGAGCCCATATCAAAAATCGAGATAAAGAAACAAGTCTTCTTAAGAAGAACATTGTTATAACGATTATCAATATTGGGACACCAAAGGCAGATACCCTTAGGAAAGCCAAAACTGGCAGAAAGCATACTCAGCTGAGGAATAGAAACCTTGCTGGGACCCAAAGAGTTTAAGGTGTTCAAAGCATCCTTAAGATCACTAGAGGCACCCGAGGTCCTAGTAGCACCTTTTCCAACTCTTCTCTTTCGAGACCTCTTGGGCTTTACAGTTAAACTAGAGAGAAGCAAAAAGAGTTGCCAACAACCTGAGCATCGATTACATCGACCCCAGGGAAGTTATCAGTTTTATCTCCCACATCCCCAAGGTCATTGAGCCCATTGGGGTTAGACAAGCTAACTGATTAACCATCAAAATTTTTATTTTATTATATTTAATGATTGACTAATTACATATTATTTGTGATTATATGTGTTAAATTCTTTGATTTTCTTGTTTGATATTTTTTCTAGTTGTTTGATTTATTTTGCAGGTAAATTGGTTGATTTAAAGTAATAATGGATAATACAAGTAAAACAATCACTAGAGGAAGAATTACAATTAATAAGGATTGAAGAGTCAAGATTGAAATATGAAGACTTGAAGATATGACAACAATTTAATCCTTATAAGAGTCCAAGTTGAAAGAAAAAATACTTAGAGTTGGATTAGGAAAGTATCCTAGAAGATAAGTATTTGACACATTTTCAGTATTTTGGTCATAGCTTTTGACTTTGATATCCAATTTACTTGATTTTAGGGGGTTGGAAAGAAGATTTCAAAGGCTACAAAAGTGTATTTTACGAAATTTTCGTGATTCAACCTCTAAATATGATAAGTCCAAGATTGAAATCTGGATAGATTTTGTACCGCGCCCCAAAGAATTTATGCACGGGTTTTAACCTTACAAGACTTTTTTTTGGAAAGAAATTTTTTCCAAGCCAACCTTATATCTTCTACATATACTTAGAATTTGTTTTGAGTATAAATAGGAATTCTCATTTAGAGATTAGAATGCGTCTTTTTTCCATTTTTTTATTTTGATTTTAGTTCATGTCTGGCTAGAAGGCTAAGTTAGGGTTAGAGGAGAATCTCTCAATTAAGTACGATAATGTTATTGATTCTAATTTTAATGATTTATGATGTTTTGTTAATTTAACTTCTAATTTGTTAGCAAAGTTTTTGTTCTGTAAAAATCCTTGAGTCGTTGTATCATGTATATTGATTGCTTGAATTTCTCTGCAAGTAAATAACTGGTTATTCCACGCTTGAGGTAATTATCATTATTTCATAAAATAATATAATTGGATGATTATTTAGGTTCCTGAATAATCTTTTGATTAAAATTTTTGATTTTTTTACTTGATTTGTTACTCGAATCAACCGACATCTGATTCTTGTCTCAAGTTAAGATTTGAGTCTTTAATCATTATTGTATGGAATTGAGAATGAGTACCTAATGCTCTAGTATTTTTTATATTACTGTTTTAATTATTTAAATCAATTTTTTTCACTCAACAATTTCATAAACAAGTCATTTATTTTTAAGTTTGTTTAAGTATTTGTGTGATTGCTTTCTTGTTATAATTCCTTGAGGGTTTGACCTCGGTTTTCTGAAAATTATATTACTTTGCTTAAGCTACACTTGGGTTTATAATATTAAAGTTGAAGCACTAACCTTTTGGCTCACCTCAAGTGAGCTTGGCACATCATCCTCTCTAACACGTCTGTGAGGAAGAGGCCGGAGTTCGAATTCAAGAGATCTGTCAGCCATGACAAGGGAGACAGAGGACCTAGTGTCCTAGGAAGAGAAAAACATGGGGGCTCGAGGAGTGAAATATTCAAAACAAGTATAGAGGGAAAACACGTATAGAGAACAATCCTTAAGTGCTCGAGGATCTAAACACCGAGACCGAGGAGAAAAACTTTAGCAGTTGTGTAGGGATCTAGGAAAAGAGGAAGAAAGGACAAGGAATGACCTGAGCTCCTAAAGTATAAGGAACGGAATGACCAAAAGTAAAACAACCACCACTGATTTGAAGAATCTAGGGTTAAGCAAGAAACCCTAGGAGAGAGAAATTAGAGAAGAGGTCGGGCAGAATACGTACCTGATCAGAGTCAATTGTCAGTTGGGAATAGGAGTGCACCTAGGAAGGATAGGAGAACTTTTAGAAGTCCACAAGGTAGCTCACAATAGGATCTGGGCATTCGACTAAGCAAACTTGAATGAAGGGAAAAGGGAGAAGACGAAGGCACAAAGTAGAAGGAAAAAAAAGGGTTTTCTGGAAAAAATATAAGGAGATTTGAAAAGGCAAAAAAAAAAAATAATAAGGGGGAATTTTGGCGGTTTTGTTTGTAGAGGTAATTCAGGCATTAGACGCATGGCGCAGTAACGCCAAACGTACGCAAAATTCTAGGCACAAACGAATCTTGGCACGTACGAGACATTAGAGTCTCTAGGGAACATCCCATCACATCTACTTCAGATGAACAGGAGTCGAGCTTATCCACAGCCAGAGGCACAACTCATTCCTAATCTAGATTGGACAAGACAGTCCTGACTTAAGATTGAAGGACAACTGATGATACCAAAATTAGCCAAGGCTAAGCTTGGCCCAGAAGCAGATCAGGAACTTACCCCCAATAGGGGCCCTACATGATGATGTCGGATTCAAGTATCCCAACTCGGCCATTGCTGATGTGACCCCCACGCACGCTGCAACAACAACAACTCACATTTTCTGGAAGTTCATGTCAGATCCTAGGAATATAACTTCTATTAGCTGAAGATCCCGCCTTATGGGTCATAATGACCCCAAGCAGATCACAATTATGACGCACAAATCATGGCCGTTACACGAGGATTACGGCAGTTATGCGGGACCACGTTGATAATGCCTAGCTCTTATAGGCTATAAACAGGGATCAATCCCACGTTTTGTAAGAGAGATATATCCCTAAGAGTTTACTTTCTACAAAGCTTTATAATCTTCCTCCCCAAATAATCGCAAACCCACAAGGAGCCAAAAGACTCCATTAGAATGGACTAGACAAACTTCCAAACTGGTGAACCACTATAAAAAAATATTGTCTATTGATTTCTATTGATGGTTATTGTCTCTGTGATTGACTATTTACCATTACGAGCCTACTGGCTTTGATTGGACGTCCTAGTTTATATCTCTAATCCATTTCCCCCTTTTATACCTCGAGTTCAACCATTCAGTCGCGTAGACCACACCATCATAATCTATAGAAATTTCATGCAAAGTTTTCTTCTTTATTATCTCCACAAAGTTCATGCAAAGTTTTCTTCTTCTTTTTTTTTTTTTCTGGACTCTAATCCATCTCTCCCACACTTTGAAGAACAAACAATATGCAAGGAAAAAAATCAAGATAGAAAATATTTTAATTGAAAAATTCTCAAGTTTTGCCTTAGAAAAAAAAAGGTCAATATTGAGGATTGGATTAAGATCGATTCCAATAGTAAATAAAAAAACTAAGATTGAAACTAATAATTACCCAACAATTGATAAAATTGATCTGAAAGATCTTTTTTAATCTTACAATTCATGAAGATCTAGAAATCAATCCACCCATTCATAAAAAAATTTATTTTAATGAAATGGGAATGAATGAAGAAATACTAAATTGTCCTTTATCCAATCTGGAACTTTGGTTCTTCCCCAAATTTGTGCTACTTTATAATGTTTATAAAATGAAACCATGGGTTATACTAAGAAAATTACTTATTTTTAAAAAAATTTATGACAGGTAGAATGAAAAGAAAGAACTTGGCACAATTCATGAATTACTTGTGATTCTTAATTAGCATTTCAACATGTCCCACAAATAGATTACAATTACATAAATCACAAACTTTTTCCCTTTTTCCAACGACCCCAAACTTTATTAATTTTGGGCAAATTAACATATTACAATATTAGAGTAACACTTTATATAAACATTATTCAACACTTAATTCTATTGCAAATTCTTCTTCTTTTTTTCTTCTTCTTGAATGACATCTAGAAATGAAAAACACCAATTAACTTAAAATGGAATCTAGAGGATCACACATAAAAGCTACGGTTTCCATCCTGAATCTCAAATGGAGGGCTAGAACTGTTCAAGTGAAGAAGTTCTTCAATCATCTGCAGTGCAATTCTCTCCTCCTCATCCATCTCTCTCCTTTTCGGCCCGGCTAACACCGACGAATCAGACGCAGATGGGCCTTCTCCGGCATTGCCATTATGCTTATTTAGCTCAACTGTCATCACCCAATTCGATTCTGAGCACGGCCCAGCCCTCTTTTGCCACACTCCAATGTGAGAATTCTCAGTGTCAAGCCTCAAACAGGTAAGAGATGGAGATGGAATTTTGCTGCATTTTCGGAGTTTGGCCCGGAGGATTTCTGATAAGTCCTTTGGAGATGAAGGTGAATTGTCGTTAGACTTTGGTTCTCCATCTGAATTTTTGGTAACTGGGAAGTTTGTTTTTGCATTTCTGCCACTCATTAAAATTGCTGCTTGATCATATGCTCTAGCTGCTTCTTCAGCAGTGTCAAATGTCCCTAGCCACACCCTTCTCTTCCTGTTGCACATAAATATAAGAGAATATTAGTCAAATTACAAGGAAAATTAGAAATATAGGGTTTCTATGTTTTTGATTTGA